TGCTGTGGCACACTTGGGAATAAAGAATGCTGTGCCCAAGACTATAATGCAGTTGATGAGTGTGGATGGATTAACCAGGGAAAACGTGGCTAGCCACTTGCAGAAATACCGGCTTTATCTTAAGCGCATGCAAGGATTATCCGGTGGCGGCAGCGGCGGAGGCAGCGGCGGCGGAGGAGGAGGCGGTCCATTGGCTGCTTCTGCAGATCCTGCCACTGACCATTTGTTTGCTAGTTCGCCTGTGCCACCCCATTTCTTGCACCCAACTAGGCCTAATTCGGATCATTTCTTGCCGTTTGTGCCGGTCCAGACTCTGCAGCACCACCATCACCAGCAGCACATGGTGGCAGCTGCGGCGGCGGCGGCCGCGCATCCACAGTTGCAGCCACAGTATCACAGACAGGTGGGACATTTTGGTTCACCGCCAAACGGGCACTTTGAGCATCCCTTTCTAACAAGGCAGTCTCAAGCTCAGCCACTTCACAGGATGGGAGCCCCAGTGCACAATCCAGTAACCGCTAATTATGTGGAGGACATGGAATCGGCCAACGCGGCAGGAGCGAGAAAGGTTCTTACTTTATTTCCTACTGGGGATGATTGAATCTGTTCTGTGGTCCTCTTATTGAGTTTCCTAATTCTCCTTATATTCACCTTCTTGTCTTGCGAAATATTGTTTCTGGTGGTTCATGTTGAGTGTCCTTGTTTAATTTTGTTTTAGGGTTCACGGTAATCTTGATGCTACTAATTGGTTCTGGAGTCTAGGTGTTATCTGCACTTCTGCAGATCTAAGAGTCCCACCTGTCGTGCTTCTGTGGCATAATCGGATATGTTCGATAATAATGAGTATGACTAGAATAGATTGCTAGATTCCACAGTGGTGTCGTTCCTGTACAACCACGTCCATAGTTCAGGTGACTGACATATACCATGATGTCACTTTTGAAGTGGGAAAATAATATTTGCAAGCTTGTGCATGAATCAGTAGCTGCGTCAAGACTCATCCCATTGTTGTCTAAGAATCGCCTGCAGTTCAATATAATCCCGAGCGCTTCTACTTGGGAAGCTTTTGATTGACAGGATTGGCTGAAGCAACAAGTTCCAGTGACAATGAGCTTGCAGATTTAAATTAATTTTGTGCTACACTAGTTAGGAATCAAAGGAAGCATACTGGTTGGTGGAGTTGGTTGTGAATTCTTAAACTAAATCCAGGATCCTCTATTGTGAACTGAAAGATTTGTCTCTCGAGTGTCGAGCTGTCTATTTCTGTAGAGGTGAGGCGTATATATAGAAGATTTAAACGCCAGATGTAAGGGCATATTTTTAAATCCTGATCTCACGGCATTGTTGGGTTAACCCCTATGCTAATGAATTGTAGTAGGCTAGATTCCATAATTTCTAGATGTACTCTTTTCAAAGGAAAAATAAATAAAAGCTCCACGTTGTATTTCTTGTCTGACAGGCATACGTGATTTCTTTATATCCCAAGTCCTGAGGCTGACAGTGGGTCTCATTATATGATGATTGAGAATGGATCTTCTGCGATTTCTTTAGTGGTGCATTTCTTGTGCACGTCCTATTTTATTATTTAACCCATCATATACATGTTTTCTCACTTTCTGCATTGCCTCCTTACTAATAAAATAAGAGATGCGCAGAAAATGCATCACTAAAGAACTATGATGATCTATTTGCTCATATCACGGATCTTAGCCATACTACGTGACTTTGTTTAATAATATATCCTCCCTTCTTCTGAACAGGATCTGTTTCCTACTGAAGCTCCCAATTCTTGTATGACTATACATCTGCACATAACTTGGATTTTGGTTATCCCATAATTGGATATTATTTTTTGGAAGAAAGAATAATTCATCTTAAATGAAACGCTTGTTATAGAGATGTTAATCATTAACGTATATTTAACCTCGGGACGAGATATTTGGTCCCGACTGAAAAACAAAACTCTCGGCAAGGTCTGTAACTTTTGACGCGAATAATTCAGCTCCTGTTTTTAGAGATACACGTAGCCGTTCTGCTAGGCTTGTCTTGAATTCTTCTTTTTAATTTAACATCTCAATTTCATTTCATCTGTTTGGGAAATCAAAGTTGATCCCTTAATGTAGGGCCGACGTAATTTTCGGGTTACTTAAATAACGTGTACATTGTTTGAGGTCTCGTAGCATTCAATCTGAAGTCATATAGCTTACTCGGTTCTGTGTCTAAATTTCCACACCTTCTTCATGTGTTGTTTGTCATGTTTGGATGTTTTTTTCAATCATTCTGAAGAAAGATCGATTCAGGTAGCTTCGGCCAAAAGTCTTAGATACGGTCTATAGAATACAGGTTTTCCTTTCTGGCGGGCTTGAACTTGGTTTCGTCAGTAGTTAATTGTCGATGCGATAATTTGTTTATCCAGCTCTATTTTAATCCCGATTATAGGCACAAATAATTGAAGTGTGCTGGCCTTGAAAAATTCGTCTCGCTGTTTTTCTTTTTTCTTCTTTTGCCCCCTCTCTGGTCTCTTCTTCTCTGCATTTGCACATTTACAGCAGCAGAAATAAAAATGGAGAGCTGAGTTTCTCATTAGTGTGATGCAGTATGTCAAAATCATTATTATGATGCTGTGCGTTCGTGTTATTCTCACTATAAAAGAAAACAGAGAGAGAAAAAACAAGTTTACACGAATACACCATGAAATCATGTTTACCACTAAATCAGAAGCGAAAGACGGGGCTGCAGAATGAAGCCATGCCAAGACAAAAAGTGGAAAGGAAGAAGCAGGGGAAGGGGGTCAACGAAGGGTATGATGATTGATGATGAGGTAGTTAAAAATGGGGAAGCATTGGGACAAGGTGGCAGTAACATTATGAGCAGCATCTCACATTTGTTTCGAGTTTTGGAATGTGGTACCCAAAACCAACAGATATTCTGCATTGCATTGTTGGATTAGGATCTGGATGTTGTAGAAAGGCCATTGGATTTGTGCAATAATGGAATGGTGGCCATGTGGGGGAGGACCAACAAAATCTTTGGCGTTTCTTGCTTTGTCCTTGTTTTTTAATGCGTCAGAGCCTTTGGTTGCAAGATTCCAGGCTCAGAAGAAGGTGGACGCCACCCTGGACCTCACATTATTTAATTGGGGTGCAAGCACTCCATTAACATCCCTATCATCTTCCATTAATCCGTCGCTTTAAACTATTCTTTCTAATATTGGATCCAACTGGTCACTTAACCCTTCTATTGTTCGCTTCATGGAAGTTACTCGAACCAGAATCCTCTCCCTGTCCCATCGTCTCTCCCACTTGCCCCCATGTTGTTTTCCATATTCTGTTGAATCTGCTGCCCGGACTTATATAGAATATTATCTTGAGAATATATATTGATTATCAACTAACCTTTAATATATTCAATATATAGAATATTATCTTAAGAATATATATTGATTATCAACTAATCTTTAATATATTCAATTCGCATTAAATATATTCCTAATATATTATCAATTTAGGATTCAAACTACTTGGAGTAATAACTTCGGAAAGGCTGCCTAGATATTTAAAATATGCTAATATATGACCATGCTAATTATATTTTGATTACAATAAAAGCAATATAGATACTCCCTCCGTTCCTTATTATAAGAGACATTTGGTGCTTATGGCATGTTCCTATATATAAGAGACACTTAAAAGTTGTCTCTACTTTTTTGTGTTGATTTCCTATTTTACCCATATTTATTGTCTCCAACTCACACTCTCTCTCCTTCTCACTTCTCTTTCTTTTAATAAATTACCATTGTTCTCTCTCATGTTCTCTCTCCTTATTAATGAGGGCATTTTTGAAAAAAAAAAATTATACTTTTTACATATTAATTGTTCTTAACTAATTTTAATTGTTTTTTTTATCAACGTAATTCGATTATTCGTCTCTTATAATAAGGAACGGAGGGAGTACTACTTTCTTAATTGATCACACTTTATAAGTAAATACTCCTCCAATCCTTAATATAAGACCCATTTAACTAATTTGATTAGATTAAAGAAGTTAGGTAAGTTAGTTAATTATAAGAAAAGTGACACATTTTTCTTAAAACACCATAATCATCTTTTTTAATACCCCCACTCCCTCTTCTATTTGATTATGATTGAGAGAGTATCTATATGAGTAATTTAGAGAAATTTGATAAATATGAGAAATTGGTCTTATATTTATGACTAAAATCAATTCAAGAATTAGGTCCTATATTAAGAACGGGAGAAGTATTTTGAAATTTGAGAGGCAAGACCTGAACTCGCGCTGCACCCACCACGAAGCAGGAAAAGCAAACTCATCTGAGCTGCGGAGCCAAATCCAGACATGCAGCACCACGAGTGTAAATAACTGAATTGGATTTCACAATCACACTCAGGAATTTGGGACTCATTATCTGTCTTTCTGACATTCACAGTTCACAACGTCAGAACAGAACCTTGTGCATTGCGGGAACACTTGGAAACTCAACAATTGGCGTTAACAAATTATCAAGTCATGGCTAATTGGCGTAAACAAAGTAACTAAAAAACTTATCATTCATTTTATAAGCTTCAATTTACTCTGATTTTAATATTTAGTACATTTTTTATTTTATCCTTAATTATTTATTCTTTTTCATTTATCATACTTCTTCTTATCACCTTTTTTTTCATATATCTTCTTTTATCTTTTTCCTTATCTATTATAAAAACATATTTGAAAACAAAACTATATTTCTCACTTATTTATTGCTTTTAAATAATTTTAACTAATATTTCAGTATCTGTGAGTTAGTTATTTAAACCTTATAATAAGAAGGAGGGAATACTGTCCTTTTTGGGAACGGAGATGAACCAGGATGCTAGATTTCGGTTTTTCCCACACCCATTTCCGGTTATCCGGTTGTGCGCAAGACCCTACCAGCATGTTTCAGAACGGCGCCGTTGGGGCCGCATGGCATACTCGTAGCACCTGAACAACAACTAAGATTTTGCGTCCCCGGCGTTAGAGGAGAAAGGAGTATCCATGAATACCTGTGTATATATTGAGATCCACTGTAACCATAATATATTTTACTATGATAAAATCTAAAACGGAAGACAGACTACAATTGGAACAATAGGTCATCTACTAAGAGTTCCAAAAGCATGAACCTAAATCTCAAAACCTACAGCTAAAATAATTTCAGCGTACAAATTGATAAATCCCCATCAGCCATCGTCTAGTAGTTCTGCGGATAATCAAAGCTCAGCGGCTGTTGACCAAATGGAGCCTGCAAAGCAACCAAAGAGAGAATATGACACATAAGAGAATGGTTAATCATATGCAGCGCCTGGCGAAAGCGACGATGCATGGAATATATAGTATATGAAGCAAGTGCAAATTCCCGAAAGCCACAAATTTCTTTAATCCTCACCGGAAAGAACAATTCAAATAATACAAAGTGACCCCACTACATTAACCTGGGTGACCTTCGATGCTCCCAATGTCACTTATGACTGGGGGTAAAATATGGGGGGGAAAACGCTAAAACAATGATGTTCCATACAGCCATTCATGCTCCATCACAAACTATGATAAGCACAAAGTGAAGGAATAAAACTGGCGCAACAACCCAATTCTAAAAGCAGTATGAAACAAGAAATTACAAGAACGAAAAGAAAGCTTGCACAAACATCTAAAATTCCCACAAGGGAAAAGATACCGTACGATGACAACTCCTGCACCGGCAATAAATTCATTTACAATTTGGTCATGCTATTGCTAACAGTCATAGACCTTACACTCTAAAAACCTAAAAATTTTCTGCCATTCATAGCTAAGAGACACAAACACCAAGCCACAACTGATGGATTAATGATATTAACAGTTGTTTACCTGAAAAACAGCATGTCTAAATTGGTCATATGAATGTGCATACATCATAGCAGCACTTGGCCACTGTAGGTAAGTAACATTCCCACCCATCTGATTCAGTCCAGTAGGGCAGAAAGGACTCAATAGTGGGCTTGAAGGGGGTCCATAGCCAAGTGAAGGCTGAGTTTGTGACATCTGACCCAGCCGATTGAAGTTACTGTCATATTGAGCAAATGAAGGTGGAACTTTGTGAAGACTAAAAGGCGCCAAGTTTGGAAAATTCCTAGCATACCTGCCAAAAATCATTATGGTAAATCATACTAATAAACAAATTCTTCTCGTGCTAAAAATAATCACCAAATTATAACACCAGCTAGCAAATAAAAGGAACAATTCAGAGAAGAACAAACATGAGACCATTTAAAACCATTGATCCGATATGCTCTTATATTTTTACTTTGCACTGCCAAAAGCATTTCTGATTTAAGTCTGGATTTATGAATGCTGGCTTAAAGAGACATCACTCGTCCATCTCCCTCTCCTTCTACCCACCCCTTCCTCACTCACACTTTAAATCCCACAGACAAAGAAAAAACAAATTAATTCTCGCTTTACTTAGATTACTGCAGTCGGCACATGAACAAAAGTAAAGCAGAAAATTATAAGTTAAAAAGAAATATTGCTAAAAATTCTATGTAAAGGATTTTCAGATGGACAGTGGACTCACGTGCAGATCCTTATATCTTTGCTATAAGTTCTCTAACAAAAGTATAGGATACGCATATAGTTTATTTTTTTGGGGAAAAAAAATGATGCTGGGGTATAAATTATACAACCACCATAGACTTGTCATGTTTTAATTGGATAACATAACAACAAAAATATATAGAGGTGCACATAAGTTTTTCCAATGGTTTTTCAGCTAATATAACATTGACAAGGAGCTTGCAACACTAGAATTAATGTTTGGGCATCTCCTAAAATAGTTAGGTACATGAATGAATCTTACCTTCCATAGCTACGATCATAATCTGGGTCACTACGATCCTTCTCCCTATCTCTTAAAATGGCAACACGAGTGGAACCAATATCCTTGACACTGGTGCATTTTTCTGAATCAGCCATAGGGTTCTTGCCAGCTTCATTCTCATCCTGGCCCACACTACAATTTCTTACATCCACCGGGACCTGGGACAATGCATCACTTGCATCACAACTTCTAGAGCCACTAAAGATGCGTGCTCGTGCCCGATCATATTCCTCCTTCCTCTCTTCCACACTTCTCATAGGATTTCCTTTCAGTCCTGCTTCATTGATTTCATTTACATTGCTTTTATTAGGTCTAGGCCTTATGGCAATTTTTATCTGCTCAGGTTTATCATTTTCTGGTTGTTTGACAGGTATTTCAGACAAGCGGACTGCAGGATACCTGCTTTCTGCTAACTTTCTCACCACTATTTTACTTCCCTGTCCATCTACGCCATAATCTTGAATCATAGTTTGCATACCGTAGTGTTGAGCAACACGATGTGCTGCCAGTCGAAGATAGGAAGAAGGGAAGTGCTGGAACTCAAAATGCTGCTGATCAGTGTTATTCAAGAACCTCTGAATATCAAGTTCCATGCGCAAAACTACAACACAACACAATCAGAAAGTTGAACAGAAACATTAGTTGGGAAAAGCGAGCCATCACAGGAGAAAGACCAGAACCCTCAAAGTTTATCCCATAAAGTTCCAAGAAAACTATAAATCCATTAGCCAGCCCACCATTGAAGATTTTCTGCTTCTAGTATATGACAAGACACTCGAGCAAAGTAAACAATACCCCAGCTACTCAAAATATGAAGTGGCAATGTCAAGAGAGCTTTTTTAGCCTCAAGGCCCAAATGAACAGAGTCTCAGACTCAAGTTATTTCGCCATGAATTTCAGGGTACACAATTTTCTATGATATCCATACACCGGAAAAGATTTGTTATTTACAAATATAGGGCTTTGACATGAGAAGCGCAAAGTTATCCACTAAAGAGTCTCCCTGAATTGAATTACATAGTCCATGGTGGGTGCCCTGTTTCTAAAGAGTCGAAGTATAAAACTGACGCGACGTTAGGAAGATAGAAAATTAAGCTGCACCGCCGTTTCATCCTCACTTGTTCGACTAGAATTTTATATCAAAGAGAACGTACTTGGTGTGCATCTACATTGCATCCATCCGATGACGAAGATCTTGAGGCGCGTGTCTGATGTGTGAATAAATTTTTGGATTGGTCTGAAATTCAAAGGCCCCCAATTTTGGGATTCATTATAGCAAGCACGTGGAGTATCCTTGTCCCCTTAAAAGGAACCAGCTCAAAGCTACATATCGAATTCAAAGTGACAATTCCTAAGGTAATTTGACGAGTCATAGCAAATGAAAGAACGACTATAATTATTCCAGATCTCATAAAATCGATATTAAACATAACGTTAACAAGACCGCGGAGTCTTATCTCAAACCCTAAACCTAAATCGCATCGACGAAGGAGAAAACTATAAAATTAAAAATCTAAACATAAAGTCAACAAACAAATAACTCTTCGACATAAGACATCTAAGACCAAAATAAAAACAAGAGCAAAAGGCAAAAAGGGGCACTGACTGGTGAGACGGTGACGAGAGTTCTGAAGAGCTGCAACCAAGAAGGGGTCAACCATTGACTCCTTGTCCTTGAATCCAGAAAAGGCATCAATGGAAGCAGATGAGGAATCCATGATTCTACGAAAAAAACAGGTAGATTGGAGAAGCCTGTCCCTCTTCTTTTTTCTCCGTAATTCCTCCCTCGGGACGAGGGGAAGGAAGGTCAGGAAGAAGGAAGAGGGGGAGAGGAAGAGGAATTGTGCCTTATACGCATGGGAAAGATAGAACCCTTCTCATCTGTCTTTCTATCCTCCTCCCTCCATCCACCAATGCCCAACGAAAGAGAGCCCTCTCAGAATAAAACTATTCACAATTTATAGGTCCCAAAATTCTCTCCCTCGCCTCTTCTTTTTAAAAAGTCAGTTAAAAAAATTAAAAATTATTTAGATGATTAATATAAAAATTAGTTTAGTTATAAAATGACTGAAAAAAATATAGACTTTACTGAATAGTTGTGTTTGAAATTTTATATTTTTAATGTGATAATAGTTTAAAGATATATATAAAATTATTATAATAAAATATAAATAGTTTATTTGTAAAATTATAAAATAAAAATATTTGTTACGGAGAAAAATTTGAAAAATTAATTAAATATATATAACGGACAAATATGAATATAAATTAAAATTATTTGGTTTGAATAAAAGCTCATTATGCTAACAGGGGAGATGAGGTAAAGAGAAAAATATGTGGATAAATTTAGGATGCTTATTTTTAATAATCACCTTTTGATGCTGCAATTTAAAAAGTCAAATTTTCCTCTATTAAGTCCAATTGAAATTGAAAGTCAGAAATTAGTTGAAAAAGTTAGCCCAACCAAATAACCTTTTTTATCCAACTCAGTTTCATCATTTCTAAAACATTTTTGCCCTTGGAAACGACAATCTAAACATGCACTTCTACATGTGACGCCTTGAAGGTTGAAATAATGTCTCAAATTTATTTATTGCCAAAAATGACTGTGTTTTCATGAGCTTCAGATACTTTTTTCCCCACAAAACTTAATCAGATAGTAAGAAGTCTAATAACAAACTATATAATATTATCGTTGCGGCAATAGAATTTTATATCCATAAGAAGATATGATTTTTAGTCCATGATTGATATATTTATATATATTACATGTACATTTAGTTTTTATATATTTTAAATACTACCTCCGGTCCTAATTATAGAGTCAGTTAACTAATTTGAGAAGATTAAAAAAATAAGTTAAATTAATTATTTGTAATAAATAAGTGTTGTCTTTCCGAAAATATCCTTACTAATAAAATATGTTGGTTAAAACTATAATTATTAGAAGGACAGTCTTGGAAAAAATTAAGTAAATATGAGAGACAAATTGGATTAAGGTTTTATATTTAGAACCAACATAAATTATACAGGATCTTATATGAAGGACCGGAAGTAGCATTTGTTTTCAGGAAAAAAAAAGAGAAATAAATTAAGAAACAAGACATTTTAGACATATCTTGGATGGGAGGCTGACACCGTTTCTACAGGAGACTCGGGGGCCGTGTTTATGAAGGCGAGCCTGCTAAGAAATCATACTTCTAATTTTAAGGGGTATTTCAATTAGTATCTACATAGACACGATTTTGTATAAAATTAGTTTGGTCATGAGGTGGTTCGGCTTTGAATAGTATTGTCTTGACGGGATTTTAACAAAAATGATCTCTGGTCCGGTTCACCAGCGACAATAGCGGGGCAACTCCAGTCGGGTTCTAATGGCCCATGAAAAGCCCAATCGAGGGACATCAGCGACTGTCCACTCAAATGGGCCGTATTCGTTGGACCAGGCCTTTTGCAAAGCCCACATTCTGTCAATCCTGGATGTTTATCGTCAAAGCCATGCACCACTTTTGAACAAAAAGGAAAGCCGAGAGAAAAATAAGAACAGCAAGTAGGCTGCGACATCATTACAGCGTGCCGTTTGGAGAATGACGTGGCGGAAACGTAACTCCAAGATGCACAGTATTCACGCCTCCCTAGAAACTTCCTCTTTCAAGTGTCAATGACCTCGTCTCCCCCGTGTCATTCCCTTGTGGATGAGGTTCATTGCCATTTCATCACCACTCGCACCCCCCTTTTGTTCACTCCACGAGCGCCAAAACCAGCTGGCTCCCTCCACGCCCAATCTGATGCGCGTCGCCTAAGTCCTAACTATCCATGGAGCGAAACAAAATCCCCTGTCAACAAAACGAAATCACGCGGAAACATCGTCAATGTCCAAGACTTCCAAGTCTTGGTCGAAAGTTGAAAGTTGAAACTCTCCTTTGGTTCTTCATTTCTAAAACCCTCCCCATGACTGAGCCAACTCCATCCTCGGATTTGTGTTTCAGCGATTTATCATCCGAGTTGGATAACCTCCCTGCCCCGTCCATGGATCCCCTTTTTTTCTCCGACAACAATCACGCCATGCCTTCTGAAGCATTCGCATCGGACCTTGATTTGGCCATGGAATTCGGGAACGATGGGGATTTCGAGATTTCCTTCGATGATCTCGACAATCTCTATATTCCTCTAGAAGTCGATGATTTCCTGATACCCAATGACTCTGTGCAATCGCCTGCATTGCATGATGCCGACTTGAATGTCGATGATAAGCAGTTGAGCTACAACAGTACCCATTTTGAGTCACCGGACTCGGATACTTCAGGTTCGGGAAATCAGATTTCTAATGTTTCGCAGTTCCTGAATTCACAATCACCTGAGTCCGGTAGTTGCCACCGGGAGCTTTCTGTGGCACACTCGGCGGATACTTCTGGTGATCAGGACTCGCACCATTCACTGGATGGTAAGGTTTCGAGCTTTAAATTGCCAGATTCTGATTCTTGCGATCGGGAGTCTTCTGGTGGTCCCGTTTCATCTCACGGTTCAGGCAACGGTATAGTGATGAATTCACCTACACTGAGTTCTGACTGCGACGACAGAGACATTTCTTCTCTTGGGATTGCTGGTCAGAATAGAAGATTGGGGGAAATGGGCAAAATTTATGATTTGAAAAGGAAGAAGCAGCACAATGAAGGAAATACTGAGGCGAGAACGACGAAGTTTCGGAAGTCATCGATGCCTATGGATAATACCAGTCAGCAGTCTGATCTCAGTGCCCTCGACGAAGAGGACGACAAAAGGAAGGCTAGGCTGCTAAGGAATCGGGAGAGTGCCCAGCTCTCCAGACAGAGAAAGAAGCATTATGTGGAGGAGCTTGAGGAGAAGGTGAGGTCAATGCATTCTACCATAACTGATTTGAGTAGTAAGGTATCAGTTATTATGGCCGAGAATGCTACTTTGAGACAGCAATTGAGTGCTACTGGAATGTGCCTTCCGCCAGCTCCAGGGATGTATCCGCATCCCCCGATGGCACCCATGCCTTATCCATGGATGCCGTATGCACCCTATGCAGTCAAGCCGCAAGGTTCTCAGGTTCCTCTGGTTCCAATTCCCAGGTTAAAGTCTCAACAATCACAATCAGCTCCAAAGGCCAAGAAGTCCGAGAATAAGAAGCCTGAGGGAAGAACTAAGAAGGTTGCCAGCATTAGTTTCCTGGGTTTGTTTTTCTTCATATTTCTTTTTGGTGGACTTGTTCCTCTGGTCAATTATAATTTTGGAGATTTAGGGGACAATATTCCCGGTAGGTCCATCTCTATTGCTGATAGATTTTATAGTCAGCGCGGAGGAAAAGTTTGGGAGATAATTGGTTATAGGAATGGATCTGAAGGAGATAGGACAGTAGGATTCTCTAGTAGGAATTTGAGTATTTCTGATAGACTAATATATGAGAAAGGTCGCAAATTAGAAGAAACATATAAACAGCGGGATTCCCCATGTAGAACAGGCTCAGATGGCTCTGTTCATAAGGGCAATGCTAGCGAACCAGAGCCTCTTCTTGCTTCTCTGTACGTTCCACGGAATGATAAGCTTGTGAAGATTGATGGGAACTTGATAATCCACTCTGTTCTGGCTACTGAGAAAGCGAAGGCATCTCAAACTGTTCATTCAGAGAATAATAGGAGAGAAACTGGATTGGCGATTTCTAAAGATTGGGATTCTGCTCTGGCTATTCCTGAAGTTGGAAGAAACAGAGATTCACATCCTCACCTGTATAGGAGCCCGCCTGAACAGCGGAAGGCTCTTGCCTCTGGTTCAGCTGAGACTTTGAAGGACCATTTAAAGTCAACTGCGACTGATGGTAAAATGCAAAAGTGGTTCCATGAAGGCCTTGCTGGTGAGTTTGCTTTTGCATTTTTTTTTTCAATGAATATACTGTTATATATAGATTGCTTGGCGCGGTTGATGCTTTCTTTCTTTTTTCCTTTTTTAATTTGTCCTGTGGATTCATGTCATGTTGGTACCCAAGGTGGTCGTTAGCCTCTGCTGTATAGGCTTTCCAAGTAACATTATGACGTTGTTGGAACAGTGTGAAAAGCCATCATGACGAATGATTTTTTCCATCTTTTAAATGTGTCTAAGCTCCTGCAACGAAGAGAACTACGTGTCTATTTTGGTAATCATAATTCTCACAATTACTGAAGGTCCTGGATTCCTGATGCAGGGCCAATGCTAAGTTCTGGGATGTGCTCAGAGGTTTTCCAGTTTGATGCCTCACCAACACCCGGAGCCATAGTTCCAGCATCGCCAGTCGCTAATGTTTCTGCAGTTAACCCCCAGAATGATACAAGCATCAACAAGAGCAGGAATAGAAGATTTCTTGATAGGCCTCCCAGTTCCCTTGCCAGATCCGATCGCAACCCCAGTAAAGAACATGGAAGAAATTCCCAGAATGAGGACCTCACTGGTAACAAGTCAATGTCTTCCATGGTGGTTTCGGTTCTTGTTGATCCCAAAGAGGTGGGAGATGGTGATGTGGATGGCATGATGCAACACAAGTCACTTTCTCGGATTTTTGTGGTTGTGCTTATAGACAGCGTCAAGCATGTGACTTACTCTTGCGGTCTCCCGCGCACACCTCTCCATCTCGTGACTGCGTGATTTGCCTACGGATCAAAATCCTTTGACCGGCAACAGAATGTTTTCAATTGAGATCTAATATGTAATATCTAACTCATGCTTCAGTTTCTCCAACAAGTCAGAATAAGAGGAAAATGAGGGAAACTGAGCTCCAATTTTGTACATAACAACGTGGTTCTGTTCTACTGTAGTGTACTGAGGACAAGACCTTTACGTGTAGAATTTAAGTGTATGTAATATTTAGACTAAGGAACCTTATCCCGCCCCTCAGAAGAATTTGCATTTTATGAACAAGACCTGTTAGTTTAAAATCTTGTTTCTTTTTAATTTTTGTTGTCGTTTGCTATTTCTAAAATTTAAACAAAACCAAATGGTTTGATAACAGAATAACATAAAGTTATAAGTAATTGTATGACTGAAAAGGTTGGTATTCATGCTTTTAAATGACTGTAATAATACCTTTTTAAGGTTCCAGAGTATCCTCTAGCAAAGGGAATCTGATAAAGGTTTGCTCAAATACAAAAAATTGATCTCTCTGTTTATTCAGCAAATACTTCAATGCCGCACAGTAGATGAGCATACAACAAAAATGTCATAATGGGCGTCATGGGCTAACCTAGCTGAGTTATTTGTACACACCATAATTTCTCTCAAAGGAAGACTACAAGATTTTACGCATCATGCGACAAAATAAATCAAAAGCATCTTGGCAATGGCAGGGCAAGTGTCAACCCCGAGAGTAAGCAAACTGGGTCACATGATGCTAGTTGATTTAATATTAAATTACTCAAAACTAAACAATTTGAATTAATGCCGTGTTCATGAAACCTATTCACATCGATTGGTTAACAATTTTCTCTGTGCAAGCTGTTCCCCCGTGAACTATCCATAATGGCTAAGTTGTTTTTTTTTTTTTTTTGCCCCCAGAGAACTCATTCCATAAAATAACTAGGCAAAAGGCCAAGATAAGCAAACGCATCAAAGCAGAAGGCAACGCAGAAAAGCAAAGTATCAAACCGAAAACGAGGATTCCAGTCCCACCAGCTCCGTGTTCCTCTTCCGTTCAGTCCCACAACTGCATAAAAGTGTCGTAGGTGAACCCCTTTTATTTTGAGAGAGCTCGTTCCAATACTAACCGTGTAAAAACCAACGGCATTTATTCTGAGTAAACGACGAAATATTATAGCTGACGTACGCAATATGTCTTTGGAGACTACGGGGGCAAATCAGGATTCATAGTACAAGATGTCCCTTTTGGCGACCTCAACTGGCAAGCCTCCTTTCATCCGCAAGGTCAAGGATAACACGTGGTCGGGACACCTGTCCTTGCTCTGTGCCTCTATCTCAAACAATTCCATCACTGAAGCTGCTATGCACTTCATCTGAATGTAGGCCAAGTCTTTGCCTAAACACAGCCTTGGGCCTGCATGAAACACTGGATATCGAAACGGGTTCTCGCCTCTGTAAACTCCATTTTCAATCCATCTTTCTGGTTTGAATTCGCAGCAATCCTTTCCCCAAATGCTCTCCATCCTCCCCATGGCGTATGTGTGGTAAGATATGAACCAGTCCTTCCGAATCACCGTACCGTCCGGCAACACATCGTCTTTCAGGCATGCTTTTGTGTCCACCGGTACTGGTGGGTACAACCTCATCGTTTCCGAAATGGCTGCTTGTAGGTAGTTCATATCTTTCAGCTCCTCGTACCCAAGGCTTCACCTCTCTTCTTCCCGTTTCGGGAGCGAGTGGCTCTGAGTTCGTCTCTTATTTCTTGCTTCACGTCTGGTCTTGACGAGAGTATCCAGAAGAACCAGCTCAGAGCTGCCGACGTCGTGTCTCGCCCAGCCAGGATGAAGCTTATCACGATATCTCGCAGAAATGCCGGAGAACTCTCTTCTGTTCCGATAAAACGGGACAATAAGTCCAGATCCCGATTACTTTCCTTGGCTTCCAATCTGGACCTTATGATCTCATCCGCAAACTCGTGTACGGTCACGATTGCTTCTCTCAGCCTCCGCTCTGATCCCACGTTCAACCACCTCTTGATTTTGAACACGCCCGGTAAAGCGTACATGAACCTCCGGGAACTCAGCGTCGCGGCATCCTCGAACGCCGACATGAATTCCGTTCCGCCGGTTCCCTCGCCGCCTAGACACTCAGGGTCGTAGTTGAAAGCGAGCTTGCAGATGTTGTCGAAAGCGAAACGCTCCAAGATGTCCTGCAGGTCCAGAACCCCGTGGGTGTCTGAGGCCCGAGAGAGAAGCGGAACCAACCTGGTCTGAATTTCGACCGTGACGTTCTCGATGACAAAGTTTCGAAGCGATTTGGTGTTGAACTCGTAGCTGGCGGTTTTCCTCTGAACTTTCCAGAGGTCGCCGTCGGAATTGAAGATTCCGGTGCCGAGGAAATCATGGAGGAGGCTAATGAATCGTTCGCCTTTGGGATAGTTGGGGAAGTTGGTTTTGAGCATGTGCTCGACGTTGTCTGGGTTAGCCGTAATGACGCCTTGGACTTTGCCGGGGCGGAAAAAGACGGCGGTGTTAGGGGGGCAGTCACGAAGAACCTGGGTGGTCCAATCCAGGAAGCGTTCGCGATTCTTCAGGAAATCTGGTAAAGTTCCAAGTAACGGGTAGTTTCGGAAGCCCCTCTCGGGGGATATTCTGAAAAACTTGACAAATAAAAGGGAGAGATAGAAAAGGATGAGGAAGACGAAGAGTAGGGAAAGCAAAGATAAGAGATCCATGGCTTTGCACTTCGGAGCTGATCAGGTATGAGTTGGAGCCGCGCGCATAACGATGGTTTGTGCGGCCCATATATACATACATTTATATACTCCTTCTATCTCTTGTTTTAAAATCTAATTTTTTTTAATGAGTTTATCTTTTTAATAAAAAATTTTTTGAATTTATCTCAGTATTTAATACGATATTATCTATTTTACATCTAATTTAATATATTTAATATTTTTTTATTTATTTTACTATTACTCTCTCACATTTATTTATTTAAATATAGAGGTATATTTGAAAAAAAAACTGTATTTGCTGCATATTAATTATTTTTAATTAATTTTAAATATTTTCTTAAACTATATAATTTAGTTAAAAAGATCTTATAATGAGAGATGGAGTAGTATGTAATAGCCCCCTTTTCATCGGAATTATTTTTAAAAAAAATACAGTATATAATATTTATGAAACCGACTTTTTAAGACCTTAGCAGACCTTAATTAACTTCTACCTCCGGTCCTAATTATAAGACCCAGTTGACTAATTTGAGGAGATTAAGGAAGTAAATTAAGTTAGTTATTTGTAACAAATAAGTGTTGTCATTCCTAAAATATCCTTGCTAATTAAGTGTGTTGGTTAGAACTATCATTATTAGAAGGACTATCTTGGAAAAAAATGCATAAATATGAGAGATAAAATGGATTGGGATCTTATAATTAGGACCAAACTAAAAATTAAACGGGATCTTATATTAAGAACCGGAGATAGTACAAGTCTCTCAGGTCAAAAAAAAATTAACTACAAGTCTCCGCTTAACAATATACCAGTCACCAGAGTTATAATTCTACCATGGAGATCAATATACAGACGAAAGTTGAACCATGTCATCATAATATCGAAGAGAATGTTTGTTGGAATATCGGTCTCTTTAATCATAGTCCACCGTCGGAGGATTATACTTTTGTCCCATGGGTTGAGCCGTCGAGTGATGATCCAACGCGCTGGCGACCCAGAGTTTTCCGGTCTGCCTGGTGATGTTTAATCGAGTGGCGTCGAGTGCGAACCATTTTTTTTTGTTAATATAATTTTTAGTCTCTAGAATTTAGATTCATTTTAGTTTTGATGCATCAAATTTTAAACATATAGTTTTAGTTTTTGAAATTTAGTTAAATTTAAAATGTTAGTTCCTGAAGCTGTAACACTGTTAAGAACAGCTGAAATATTGTAAACGGTATTAAAATGATAATATGGATTTACCAATGACACCTAACTAAATTTTATATAGATAACATAATAATTATATAAAGGCGGATGGGTTCTCAAAATGAGAACAGGTCCCTCAAACGAGTCACCATAGGGGGAAAAAAAGGGAACTAAACAACTGCGTTTTGAAGACTTATTTTTTTCTTCTTCTTCCCTGTATTATCCATACAAGACCCACCTAAGTGTTATTTGGTGGATTCACGTTACCACTTTAATGTCATATACAACATTTTAACAGATATTAATATTTTAAGTCGGTTTAAATTTTAGGGACTCAAACTGTAGACTTGAAATTTGAAATACTAAAACCAAAATTTACCCAAATTTTATAAACCAAAATTATATTAGCAAATTTTTTTAACCAACACGGAAGTGTTTCATTTTGTTCATACTCAAATACTACTCCGGTCATTAATATAAAAGCTTGTATGATTTTTATTTTGGTTTTAAATATAAGACATCAATTTATTTTGTCTCTCATGCTTATTCAATTTTTTTTCCGAAGTAGCTATTGTGATAATACTAATTTTAACCTATACACTTAATTAATAAGGATATTTAAGAAAAGATAACACCTGTTTATTACAAATAACTAACTTAACTAATTTTTAATTAATTTATTTAAATTAGTTAACGAACTTTTATATTAAGGATAGGAGGTAGTACTAATTTTCATATCATGAACAGATTTTTTGCTTTTTAAATAGAACCTAATAACCCAGATTACAGAGAGAGAGATCATAGATATCAAATGAGCAGCGATATAACACTGTGATTGATTAAAAATGTTTAAGAAATTAACAAGCATAGTGAATTTCTATTATTCACATAGTGATTTGCTTCACACAAATGAACAACGTGGAATTTCTTCTGGAAACTTTGCAGGTTGTAGAGGGAGCAATAACACAAGCCCTCCCACCTTTGTTACAGTGTCCCTGGTAAAGTTGGTGGTAATAGGTTGTAGAACTACAGCTAGGATAAAAACTCACACTGTAATATCCTATTATAGTAATAATAATAAAAAATATATAAGTTAACTTTCCACCGAATTTGGTGGAAAGTTGGCGGTGGATGTGGAAATTTGGAGGGGGTTGCGGTAGAATTCAACCCCTCAATAAATATTTAGGGGTGTTAAATACAACCTAATAACCCAGATTACAGAGAGAGAGATCATAGATATCAAATGAGCAGCGATTATAACACTGTGATTGATTAAAAATGTTTAAGAAA